TGCTTCTATAATGATTGGATTATCCAATGACTTGAATAGAACATGATAAGATTTATATGTTCATTATGTACTTGTTACTTGTTAGGTCTCTGTGAATGTTTCTATATTCTTTCATGTTTAATTTGATCTTAAGAAAATTTTGATTGAATTTAAAAAATAAAAATGTTTAGTTTCTCATTTTATCCAATTGAGGTTTTTGGCTAGAGAGAGAGGGGAGGATTTTAGAGAGAGAATGCTTAGTTCAAAGGCAGTAGAGTCTATTTGTCCGTCGGCCAGTTGAGAAAATTGATCAGCTTAAGATAGGTTATTGATACTCTACTTCATATTTCAATTTCGATGTATGTTTGGATATTTTTGAGATTTTATTTAATTTGGATTGACACAAATGCAATTTTACAAAGACTTAGAAAAATTTTATCGTGTAACTTTTAGTATGTTTTAGAATAGAGCATTCTGGCCACGTTGGCTGAAAAATAAGATTTTTTTTTGGGTGGTTGGTTATATACATTTTTTTAAAGTATTTCTTAAGTATATTGACATTCCTAGAGATTACCACCGTATAATAAATACTTTAAAATTGATGTTGTAAATGTTTTGATTTGTAATTATTAAATATGTATATAATTTTTATCACATGCAGACTGCTGAATTTGTCGTGCAAGTGCTATTTTTATGTATTTATGTTTCATGTTAAGCGTTGCTCATATATGTTAATTATGATGATAATTTAATGTTCATGTGCTGAAATTGATATGTTATGTTTATGTGTTGGAGGATACGTGAAGGAGGGAGAGAATGAGGTGGTACACGTGACGGTTATTTTATATTATGTACAATACAAGTAAAGTTATAAGATCCTGCACACATGTAATTTGTTTTAAATAGATGTGAGATGAAAAGTTGAAGTAGAATTATAAGGGGGATTGAGTAATTTGAAATGTGGAGGTATAAGGAGGCTTCAGAAAATATCGTATATGAATGTAATCATATTTTGATTTATATTTTATATGTTATGTTTCATTGTATATTCTATTATGATATTACGTTCATGTTTAAATGAAGTTCATGTTGTTTTTGTCACGCCTCGCGCGGAATCTGAAGTGAAAAAATTCTTTTATTTTCTTCTTTAGTATATGTTCAATTCATTATATTTCTTATATCGTTCATTTGATAATCAAACCAATAAACATTCAGATCATTTTGAAATGCAGAGCTGGTTAATTGCATTAAAGAAAATCAATAAACAACAAAAAATATAATTCACATTACTATAATAGTCTATATTTATACTCTGTCAGTATAATCCAAAATAATATATACAATAGTCTTCATAAGCTACAAAAGAATATACATAAACCATAATAATCGAAAGAAAACTATAACATTATTACAACTAAGCTTCAATCCACATGCTCCTTACCTTTACCATAAATTATATAAAATCATGTAATAAGCGAATAACCTAACAAATAACTAAAATCATACAACTGAAATTAATGCAAGGCAAAAGAGAAATAATATGTTTTAAATCATATAAGAAAATTTTATAAATCAATATATATGTTATATGTATCAGTCACATGTATCAACCAATCATTATGCATTATCATACAATCAGTTTCATTCAGTTATATCATTCAATCATCTTCGTCAATCCATCAGTTATATAGTACTATCAATATCCGTATTTAGTAAGATAAGCAATAATAGTAATCCGTATTTGTATTTAGTAATCAATAGTTCGTATAAATACTTAGTAATTAATATCAGTACATTAATAAATATTTTATTTGATATTCAATTGAGGGTATCTTATATCTTTCTCATATACTTATGACTCTCAATTAGTCGCTCCTTATGACTCACAATTAATGAACTTCTTATAATTAACTCTTCTTGAATCACATGATAGTCATCCCAACTCCTTATGACTACAATCCACTAACTTTCATTAGTGGATCACATGAATCTTGAGGACATCACATAAGATTATCATATTATAAATTCGATATCAATTAGTACATCATATCCATAAATTACATCAAAAACAAACTAGTAGCAATATTACATTCTTACATAACTCAATCATAGTTATCATTTCAGTCATATTAACTTGCAACCTTATTATGCTAAATCACTACATGGAAAACTCGTATTTTTGGCGCCTAAATATGCCGAAAAATAATAAACTTAGTCCGAAATTTTGCATTTCCAGCAGATTGCCAATGGAAATTGGGTTGACGGTAAAACGAGCGTTGAAAACATTATTCTGGCAGAAGTTTTCCACCTGAGATACTTCTGACGGATTTACCGGCGGAATTGTGCAGCCAAATTCATTGTTCGTGAATTGCTCTTCCCGGCGATTTGTCTGCCCAAATTTCTAACGAAACTATATATACATCGGAAATATCGACGGACAAACTGTCGGGAACTAAATGACGGACATGTTCGTTTGTTTATCCACCGGTACTTTCGCTAGAATTTGTCTGCCGGAAACACGATATCATTTTTGTCAAATCTTTGTTTTAGGCGGATACTCCACCAAAAATTCATCAGAAGCCTTTTTTTGATTTAATGCACTCAAGAATGAATTGATAACTGACCTCGACGTGTTTCGCGCATGCATGAAACACAAGGTTATGAGCAACTGAGATCATAGAAATATTGTCACAAAAAATTTGTGTGGGTTGCACCATAGGGATTTGGATTTCCTGCAGTAGACCTTGTAACCAAATATGTTCAGTTGCAATGGTGAATATCTTGCACATTGGTATGCTTTTTATAACCACTTGTTCATTTAGATAATCCGAATTTAGGGGCTATATTTGGTTGCTTGAAAAAAGTGTTTAGCGTAAGAGGAATGTAGTGTAAAAATAAAAGAAATATTTTAGAGTTATTTGATGAGTGTAAAATGAATGTGATGACTTTTCTTTCTTTTTTTTTTAAGTAAAGTGTAAAATGGTTGTGTCTGGGGTAATCGTCGGCCTACAATGGTTGGTGGTAGCGATGGTGGACAAAAATATAATTAGATAATGAAGAATACAATAAGTAATTTGATAATTAACACCCAAATAACTAATTTGATAATTTATAATATAAATTAGCTCATAGTTATATTATTTATCATTATAAATATTAAAGATAATTAAAATTAAAGTTAATAAGTAATTCATACTTAACATACAAATTAAATTCAAAATATATTAAATTTAAAATATAAATGACCAACTGTTGTAAATCCTAGATTATGTTGTCAAACAGTTTCTCAAGATTTAACATATGTCATACAAAACCGTTTTTAACCCACTCAGGATTTAATTTATAAGATTTACTAAATCACATTACTGTTAAATCCTACTTGTTGCTAAGGATTGTTTGGCAACCAATAGGATTTAGTTGCTTAGGATTTAGTAAATCATATAATTAAATCCAAAAAGCTATTTAACAAAAAACTTTTTAACAACTTAAGTGGTAAATCCTATTAAATCCTAAGAAACTATTTGGCAATGAAATATAGGATTTAAGGCTGTTAGTTCATTGTAAAATTAAATATATTATATTTTTAGCTTTAATTTTCTCTTAAATAAGATTAAATTATTAATTTCTATCTTGATTAACATCAATAAATTATAATGATAAGTATTATCATTATAATCTTAAAAGTTTTAACCAATACACCTAGTTAAAATTTCATTAATTATTTAATTGTTATTTACTTTTCAAAATGATTTATTGTACTTTGAATTATCTCATTAATCACTTAATTATTCAACTACTCATGCATGACAAGTTATAGCAAGAACAATGTTGTGAAAAATCAATAGAAAATCAACAAGAATAATAATATTATTTAATTATTATTTACACTATTAATTATATATATTTAATAATTTATATTTTAATGTATATTAATTAAACTAATTATATTAGTTTTAATTACTAATTATTTAATCAAGTTAAATTAAATAATTAATTTTATGCTATAATTATAATATTAATTATTTAATTAATTTGCTTAATTATTAATATTTTAAATTATATTAATTAAGTTAACAGTAGAAACCTCTAGGGTTTGCTTTTCAACTGGCTTTTTTTCGTCATCGCTGTTTGGCTTCCCTGCTTCGCAGGTGTAATGGTTTCTTCGGCTCCTTCGTTGTTGTTCGACTTCGCTCCTTCGACTACGTTCCATTTTCCTGTCGGATCGGAAGTGACGACATTTTGATCGGAAGTAAGGACGGGAGCTCGCTCGCTGTGAAGGTAACTTTCTCCCTTTCGCGCGCTTCTTCGGCCAAATCCCGTAAATCCGCCGAACTACAGAATTTAGTAAATCCGGGATTTACGAAAAAAAGAGGGAGTCGGAGGATTTATTCCGCCGTGAGATTTACGTCGAGCGTAAATCGCGTTTGGCAGGATTTAGCTAATTCCTGCTCAAAGCCGGCGTAAATCCTGTTGCCAAACATCCCCTTAGGGGGTGTTTGGTATAGAATTTGATTCAATTTTAGTAGGATTTGCTAAATCCTGTAAATCCAGATTTAATAAATTCTGGGCTCTTAAATCCTGAATTGTGGTTGGTATGATAATTTTTAAATCCTGTTAAATCCAAAAAGATGTTTGGCAAGATATAACAGGATTTAAAACGGTTGGAGATTTAAAATTGAATTAACTAAATATTTTGAAATAATTAATTATTTAATTAATAATTTAATTACTATTTTATTAGTTTTAATTATAATTTTTATTATTAATTATCTCATTAATCAATTAAAAAGAATTACTGCTCATTAATTATATAACTATTATTTATATTATTAATTATATATTTAATAATGTATAAGATAATTATATTAATTTATAATTACTAATTATATTACTAACTATTTTATTAAGTTAAATTAGATAATTAATTTATACACTAATTCTACTATTAATTATTAATATTTTAAATTATATTAATTAAGTTAATCAGTAATGAAAGCGTCTAGGGTTTGCTTTTAATCTTCTCTTATTCGTCCATGCTGTTCGGCTTCGTTGCTTCACAGGAGTTGTTGTGATTGCACGAGTCGCTTCTTGGTCTCCTTCGTTGCTTCGCAGGAGGAGGTGTTGAGATTGCGCGAGTCGCTTCTTGGTCTCCTTCGTTGCGTCGCAGGAGGTGTTGAGATTGCGCGAGTCGCTTCTTCGGCTCCTTCGTTGCTGTTCGACTTGGCTACTTCGTTGCTGCTCGACTTCGCTCCTTCGACGACGTTCCCTTCTTGTCGGATCGGACGCTACAACATTTTAATCTGAAGCAACGACGGGAGCTTCCTCTCGTTCGCCGTGAAGGTAACTTCCTCCCTTTCACGCGGTTCTTCGGACAAATCCCGTAAATCCGACTTCTAGAGGGATTAGGATTTACAGGGATTTAGCGGATTTACGCCGTAAACCCGCAAATCCGGGATTTACGGATTTGCCGGATTTGCCGCGACATTTTTTGCGTTTGGCTGGATTTACCGTAAATCCTACTAAAAACTCGAAATAAATCCGATACCAAACACCCCCTTAGTGTTTTATTATTATAAAAATTTGGGTGATTTATATACAGAGCACTCAAAACTTTCACATTTCTATGTTTAACATCTAAATTTTACTACTTAATAGTTACACATATAAGTATATAACACTCAAAACTTATTTACTTTGAACAAATTTTCAGTCTACCCCTTTTGAAATTCTTATGCTTAAACATTTCAATGTTACAGTACATTCTTCCATTTGAATTAATCTGTATTACATTTTCATTATGTTTTTTCAAAATAATGTCTCTTGTATACTTTTTGAAAATCTATTTCCAACGAGTTAAGGCAATGCATGTTACAGTGAGAATTCCATGGTCAATATAGTATTATCAGATAAAGTCATCTGCTGATTATTTTTAATTAATGCTAAACATGTGATCACTTACTTGATTTCAATTTTTTTCATTAGAATTTGAGGGATAAAAGTTCAAGCTTCAGTTTCATTAAATTTTATGATGTCGGATCTGGTGGATTCTGGTGAGCTATAATTATATTCTTACATTGTGATGCTCGTTGAAGATGAATCTGCCGTATGCATTTATTGAATCTAAACCATATAAATGCATTTCTACACCAGGAGAAAGCTTGCCCAAGTCTCGGCAAACTGCAACGGAGCATGTAAAGCAATTGCAAAGGCTCCAAGAAAAGGTTGGTGTTTCTTTTGTATGGCAAAGTTTGGAAATTGACAAAATCCCAATTAACAACATATTTATTTTATGGTTTTTTATTGCCATTTAAATGGCACTGATAATGCTGATGCTGAAGTTGCATGGAAATGTCGAACTCTCCTACTAGGATTTTGGGTCAAGAATATTGGTTTTGCATTAGGAGAAACCAAAATATAACAAAATGAAGCAATTATTAAGATTTTCTAGGCTTGGGGAGGGAGGGGGTGACTTTGGGTAGTTGAGATATGCCTTTCAGGCTTCTAGCTCTGAAAGCAGATTTTATCAGTTATTGGTGATTAATTCGATCAAAATGTGTGTTCTTTTTTGTTGTAGTACTTTGAATTATTTGGGAATTTAATATTCAGATGTCAAAACTCTAATTTGCCCTTTGCGAAAGTTTTACGCGTATACGCTGCAAAAGTAAGGTGTGAAGAAGCTGAGGTCAGCAGAGTATTGCCTTGGTTAAGTTAATTAATTTATTTTTTTAGTGAGCTTAAACTGAGCTAGAAAATGAGTTTTCCCTTAAGGTCTTGTTCAAGCATAGCATCATAACGCCTTTGGGAATAATCCACCTACTCGTACAGTTTCTCTTGCATTCACGCCCTTTGGAAAGAGCCCCAAAATCTTATATATATTTTAATCAGTCATTATCTGAATTTTATCTTTTATCAAGCTTAAGCAAAATTAAGTGACATTAAGCCATATATCCTCATCATTCAACATAGTTTTATCATAAACCGTGGTGAGATTAATTCAATGAGCTTTTGATTCCTTCAAAATCCAAGAAGTTACTGTATGAGCTAGAAGTTTTTTTGAGTTCCCTTGTGTAACATAATTCATTGCGGATGTAGTGAAACTATCGATGCATCTGATCATGTTCTATCTTAAATTGTGTCCATCAAATGACAATGCCAACACAAAATTCAGTTAATCAAAGGTCATGATACCTCTTTGTTACTATAGCTAGTATATGAAAACATTTTTCATTGTGAATGAGCTTTGCGATATATTTTGGGAAGTTCTTTATCTGTTTCATTTAAACTTCATTGTTTGTCTGTTTTATTGTGACGTACTCAAATTTGGTGACGCTTTATTGCTTGCAGGATCCAGATTTCTATCAGTACTTGAAAGAAAATGATAAAGAGCTCTTGGAGTTTAATGATGAAGATATCACAGTAAGTTTCTTAATTTTCTGTTAGAAATAAAGCCTTGTATGCATGTAAAACCACCTTGTTCTTCTTTTTCTGAAGGAGGATGAAGTATCTGATTTGGAGGATGTGGATTCTGAAGTTACTGCTGAGAAGCTTCAGACAAGAGGGCCCAAAGTGATTACCACTACAAATGTTGACACCTGGTGTACATCAATTAAAGAAAAAAGAAGTCTTGGTGCGATCAGGTCAATGCTTCGAGCTTTCAGGACGGCATGCCATCATGGTGATGATGCTGAAGATGGTTCAGGACTGAAGTTTACCATACTTTCCAGTAGCGTGTTCAATAAAATAATGGTATTTGCTCTAAATGAGATGGATGGAATTCTAAGAGAATTGTTGGAAGCTCCAAGCACGGGAGGAAAGAGGGAAACAATACTAGATCTAATGACTACTAAAGCTTGGAAGGCTCATGGGAGTTTAATGAGGTTATATCTTGGTAATGCGCTCCAGATATTGAATGAAATGACTGATGAGCAGATGATCTCCTTCACATTGAAACGAATCAAAGCATCAGCGGTGTTTTTGGGAGCATTCCCTGTGCTTTTAAGAAAATATATTCGGGTAAATGAGAATTCACAGTCCCTTAGGAGCTGGCAACTTTGACTTTTAATCAGCTCAGGCTTTATTTGGGACGGTTTTTTTACCGCTTTTTAGTACAAAATTTTAAATTTTTATACTATAAAACCACTTTAAAAGCAATAAAAAAGCCGTCCCAAATGAAACCTCAGTCTATTTACCTTGAATGTATTTTTAGGCCAAGACTTTTTTTTTCCTATGATATTCTGTTCTCTAGATAAGAATCTCTTTCAGGTTGTGCTTCATACATGGGGTACTGGAACAGGTGCACTTCCGGTGGTTTCTTTTTTATTCCTGAGAGACTCGTGTGTGCGGCTTGGTTCGGATTGTCTTGATTCATGCCTTAAGGGTGTGTATAAGGCCTATGTAATGAATTGTAAATTACCAAAACATATTAGTAGGTCAAAGTTACAGCACATCAATTTTCTTGGAAATTGTATCAGTGAATTGTATGGTTTGGATCCAATAAGCGCCTATCAACATGCCTTTGTTTCTATTCGTCAACTAGCAGTAATATTACGTGGTGCCCTCAACGAAAGGGGTCCTCAGGTAATGTTAAACCAAGTCTTTTCAAGTCCAAATAAGCCATCTTGTGCTGGAAATGCCTGGCTATCTCTTTCGATTACAGTGCTTAACTTCTTGTTCCTGCAGAAGGTCGTAAAAGGGAAAAAGAAAGTAAAGAACCAGCAAGAGAGCAGTAAACTTTCAAAGAAACAAGTTGAGGTTAGCATTTGTGAAAAATTTTGCATTGTGCATTTTCTATTCTTGCTGACTTGGTTTGCTTAGATTATTAGCATTTTTTTTTGTAATTAAAAACAAAAGCAGGGAGAGAAAAATGCAAATATTTTTATATTATTTGGGCATGTAAATGCTGATAAGCAACACCGACATGATAGGTAGTAACTGACAAGAAGATGGGGTTCTTTAACATGATTGAAATTTAGTACCTTGTATTGCTCCTACATTACATAATCGCCCGGCATGTTCATTAACATGTTTTGCTTATGCAAAATATAAAAGATTATGTATCTTGGCTTTTTTTGTTTGCATTTGTGGTTTCTTATCAACATTTTGCGGCATTCAAGTTTCCGTAGACTATTTCACTTTTCCAATTTAGTGATGGTTCCAAGATATTATGATGAAGTGATACTGTTTGTATTACAGAAAACATACCAGAAGGTTTATGATTGGCAGTTTCTTTTTTGCCTCGAACTGTGGACGAAAGTTATTTGTGCCTACAATTCAGAAGCTGATTTTGGACCTTTAGCATATCCTCTCACTCAAATAATTTCTGGGGTGGCTAGTTTGGTGCCATCTGCTCGCTACTTTCCGCTTCGTTTACGATGCATAAAAATGCTAAACCGTATAGCTGGTGCAAATGGTACATTCATACCAGTTAATACACTTTTGCTCGATATGCTAGACATGAAGGAGTTGAATAGGCCTCCAACTAGCGGTGTTGGTAAATCTGTTGATATGCATAGTGTTAAACAGGTGGTTTATTTTATTTTATTTTATTTACTTGCTTATTTCATTCTGTGAGTCTCATCTACAATTTTATTTGCAGTTGGACAAGTTGACTTTGAAGACCCGAGCTTTTCAGGAGGCGTGTATACATGTTGTTGTCGAAGAACTTGCTGAACATCTGGCTCAGTGGAGTTACTCTCTTGCATTCTTCGAGCTGTCTTTCATTCCACTGGTACGGTTGCGAAGCTTTTGCAAATCGACCAAAGTTGATCGGTTTCGGAGAGAAATAAGAGAATTCATACATCAGGTATTAATTCATACATTTCTGAAAGGCCAAATTCCTTTTTCCTGCTTGAATTTGCATTTGGAAGTAATTTGTTCCTTTGCTGGAACACGCCTGCATGGAGAAGCCTTAAGGAAGTAGCCTTTTGTGCTTCATTCCTTTGTAATATTGTTTGAGAGGGGTTGTATAGAGAAATGGTGGTCTAAAATTTGGGATTTCTTAGGGTTGGAGAGAACCGAATGGAGTTATAGGAGAGGCTCTCTATAAGGAGAATAAAGTGATGAAATCTTTTCAAATTTCATTCATAGTTGATTAGTTCAAAACAATGTTTAAAATTGCGTATTCGGGTATTGAGGCGTTTTTTATTGGTGAGGCGAGACGTAATCCTCAAGGCGTTTTGAGGCGTAAGCCTCAAAATCAAAAGATTGTGTAAACATAAAATAATAAATTTGTTGATTAGTTCTAGTGCAAGTACTTAAATCCCTATTTATAATAATTGAGTTACAACATAAAATCAAACTAATTTAAATTCAAAATTAAATTACAACAACAACAACAACATCAAGCCTTTATCCCACTACGTGGGGTCGGCTACATGAATCCTTTTTCTCCATTGTGTCCTATTAAAAGCCAAATTCTCGTTTAAATCTAATAAAGAAAGGTCATTCCTAATATTTTCTAACCAAGTCTTTTTAGGTCTACCCCTACCTTTCTTAACACAAGTCAAATCTAATACCTCTACTCTCTTAACTGGGTCGTCGGAAGGCCGCCTTTTTATGTGACCAAACCATCTAAGGCGACTCTCTCTAATCTTATCTTCTACTGGAGCTACTCCAACCTTTTCACGTATATGCTCATTTCGTATCCTATCTCTAAGGGTAAAGCCACTCATCCATCTAAGCATCCTCATCTCTGCCACACTTAACTTAGTATTATGCTTCTCTTTTAATGGCCAACATTCGGCACCATAAAGCATTGCAGGCCTCACTACCATCTTATAGAATTTTCCCTTAAGTTTGAGGGGTACATTTCTATCACATAACAAGCCCGATGCATTTCTCCACTTCAACCATCCAACTTGAATTCTGCTGATAATATCCCCATCTATTTCACCATCACTCTGAACAATAGATCCAAGATATCTAAAACGTGTACTCTTATTAATGACTTGATCGCCCAAAGTCACAATCCCTTCAGTAGGTCTATTACTACTAAAATTACACTCCATATATTCTGTTTTAGATCTACTCAAGCGAAAACCTTTAGACTCTAAGGTTGACCTCCATAATTCAAGTTTACCTTCAACTCCCTCTCTAGTCTTATCAACAAGAAGAATATCATCAGCAAAAAGCATACACCAAGGTACATCATCTTGCAAATGTCTAGTGAGAACATCCATGACTAAAGCAAATAGATATGGGCTTAAGGCTGATCCTTGATGTAACCCAACCGAAATAGGGAAATACTTGGTCAATCCACCTTGTGTTTGAACACAAGTAATAGCTCCTGCATACATATCTTTAATGATTTGAATATAAGCATTATTGACTCCTTTCTTATCAAGAACTCTCCATAGCACTTCTCTTGGAACTTTATCATATGCTTTTTCTAAATCAATAAATATCATATGTAGATCCTCCTTATTTCCTCTATATTTTTCCATCAAACCTCTGAATAAATGTATGGCTTCCATAATCGACCTACCCGGCATAAATCCAAATTGATTTTGAGAAACATTAGTATCACGCCGCAACCTATGCTCTATAACTCGCTCCCATAATTTTAAAGTATGACACATTAACTTAATACCTCTATAATTCGTGCAATCCTGTGCATCGCCTTTATTCTTAAAAATAGGAATTAATACACTCATTCTCCACTCATCTGGCATCTTTTTAGTCTTCAAAATAGTATTAAAAAGTTTAGTAAGCCAAGAAATCCCTTCATCTCCTAAGCATTTCCACACCTCTATTGGAATATCATCAGGTCCAACAGCTTTTCCACCCTTCATTCTATTTAAAGCCTCTCTAACTTCAGTTTTACTAATACGCCGATAAAAACAGAAATCTTTACTTTCATTTAGGGTGCTAAGGTCACTATAGTCAATCTTATTTTCACACTCTTCATTAAAAAGTTTAGCAAAATATCTCATCCACCTTTGTTGAATATCATCTTCTAAGAAAAGTATTTTTTGATCTTCATCCTTAATACACTTCACTTGAACTAAATCCTTACTACTCCTATCTCTTTGTTTGACTAACTTATACATATATCTTTCTCCCTCCTTATTCAAAATTAAATTAATCTTAAAAATTCTATTATCTAACTTGAAATGAAGAGAAATATCTAAAATTAAAGTTTAAAACTCAATTAAATTCCAAAAATAATTTAAAATGTTTCCTGTTCTACACGCTAGGCATCTTCGTGATCTTAAATTTTGTTTTCATTCAGCTGGAAGCCAATTGTGATTTTACAGTGTCAAGACGTAATGGAATTGGTCTTTCACCTAGTGACCTTGCAGCAACATCGCCTGAGGTATGTTTCTCCTCTCCCTTTTACTATTCGGCTTGCATTGTTCATCTCCTGAAAACTTAATAAATGTGGTATTGCTATATAGGCTGACAAGAAGTCCAAAGACAGCCCTCTCTTGCAATTTGTTTCTAATTTGCGACTGCGAGTTCAACAGAGAGATGACTCCATAGTGGAATCCAGGTCATTTATTGTTCTGTAGCTTCGTTGTAGCATATATTTTATCTTATGAATATGGATTCATCTAAAGGTTTTGTGATGTTTCTTACTCTATGGATCTAATGTTCTATATGCATAGTGGCCTAACTGTTTGGGATCTCCAATGCTTGATGGAGTCGTATAAAATATTTAAAAAAAGATCAAGATTTTTACGTTTAAATAATAGATAAAAAAGACATTATATATATGACATACCACTTTCTACTGCGTCATTGTTTCTGACCAGTTTTCTATTTTTCCTTGCAGCTATGTGTGCCAACATGATAAAAGTTCTGCATGTTTATTACGTAGTTTTGCATACATATTTCCAATATTGTGGCGCGTGGATTGATGAGTTTTATTATTTCCATATAAACATACCTTAGAAAACTTTCTGTGAATGAATGATACAAGTACCGAAATTCTGACTATAGTATACATGTGTATACAATATCTTTGCAGTATCTAGTCACATCGATATCCCACTGATAGGAAACACTTGTTGGAAAAAAAAAAACTTTGGCTAAATTTTAAATTCAGCCGTTTGCAAAAGCAGAAGTTAAGAGTAGGTGGTGGAATAACAAAATAGAGACTATTTTAATTAATAATAGTGGAAAACAACAAGATACTATGGGTCCTCAATTGGAGAGGAGGATCTAGCTCTCCCAATTTTTTAGATGCCGCTAGAGCCCAATTAAAACTTAAAAACTCTCCGAATTTTAGAAAACACCCAATAACCTAATCCTAGGAAAACATCCTACTTAAAGCATACAATCATAAAGGAATTCTCTAAAAAGCCCCTCCTTTGAATTTTCCCTTATATACCACCTAAAATCCTTCCTAAGTGATGCCTGTTGGACCGCACATAGAGAGGAGGCATCTGCTCGAGCGGAAAAGGCATTTTGCTCCCGATAGAAGCAGAGCCAGTCAAGCCAGTCCTGGACCAGCTGGTAGGACTGGCTGGATCAGTTCCTCCTGGACCGGTCGTACGCCCACCTTTACTATTTCCACCTTTTTTAGGAACGTTTTGTTAGTTTCTTTTTAATTTTTTTAATTTTCATTCTTCAAATATTATCTCCATAATTCTATTTTAATTCAGCATCCAAGTATCTTTTAAGTTTATTGGCTTCCAATTAAACTGATGGGAAATTAACTAAATCAACATGTGATACGAACTTAATCTAACTGATAGGAAATTTTTGATAAAGCTGCCGTAGAAAGCTGCTTTTGAAAGCAGTTGTAGGGCATTTACTCATCATAAAATAGGCAAAACATAAACCCAAACTCAACATAAAAAACTTGCACCTACTTTTCCTAAAGCAATGCGGACAAAAACACAAATATCAAGCAGCAGCAAACACAATGCCCATATATATTCGATGCTTAACACCAAATATGCGTTATAGTTAACTTTTGTCACTCTTCATGCGAACATTACGTTCATTAATATCATTTATGACCAGCGTGTTCTACTTCAGCCATTCTTCTCTCTTCTTCTTGCCGGTTGAAATGCTTTCACTTCTGTACGCAGTGTTCTGGTGGGATCAGAATCTTCCGTATTTTCCACCAAGTTTTCTGAGGCTGACCAACAAGCATATGAAGGAGATGAAGAGGAGGGCGCAGCAGCATTCAGCTCATCCTGGATGCCTGATAAGAAATCCAAGTAATAATCCCTGCTAATACATTTAGGGGCTGTTTGGTATCGGATTTACAGCGGGATTTAAGTCGGATTTATGCTAAATCCAGCCAAAAGGTATTTTGCGTGACTGTAAATCCGGCGACTACATAAATCATGGATTTATGCCCCAAATCCGCGTAAATCTCGATAAATCCTAATCCGATTCCTCCGCAAATTTATCAGGATTTACAGTTGAGCGGCACGGATACTTGTCTTCGAGCAGGTATCATCCCGACTCCGCGGATTTTACTGTTTTAAATCCTATAATCTATTGCCAAATAATTTCTGTGGATTTAACAGTTATCATACCTAACAGTTTTCAGAATTTAACAGTCTCAGGATATGCTAAATCCGGATTTACAGGATTTACTAAACCCTACTAAATTAAATCCAATCCAATACCAAACAGCCCTTTAGGTCCAGTCGTTGAAAAGAAAAGTCCTATTTTTTTTTATCCATTAATCTCTCAATCAATACAGGTCTACTAAGCAGAAACCGAAGCTCTTAAAGAAACATGAAGGTGAACATGAACATAACAGAGCGTTGAACAACGAGGATGTGGTGGAGGATCTCGTCCTAAGTTCCGACGAAGACAACGATGAAGAAGATAACAATAATGATGCCTATGGCCATGATGAAGCGATGATTACCAACTACTCTCCTGATGGCCAAGAATCACATGAGGGCAAAACAAAGAAGATCAAAAAGCGAAAGAGAAGGAACCTTCCAACTCAGAACAGGAAGAAAGAGATGGCCGGTGGCAAGTCAAAGAGAAAAGACCGCCCTGTAAGAAAAAGGAGCTAAATAGTCGGCTATTCTCATCAAGTGGATGACTTTCTGCAATTTTTGTAGGACAAATGCATTAAATATGATATTTATTTGTTCACTCGTGATCTTGTTCAATGCCTATTGAATATTTTTGTTGAGCGCAAGATTGGGAAATTATTCTTTGCCAAGTCCGAATGTAAAGGATCTTTCGGATTATTGCGGATCTTATGCTTAAGCTCTGCCTATGCTCTACCTACGCTCTGCTTATTTATTGAATATATGCTGCATATTTTTGCAGTAAATTTTGAATGCAGAGTATATGCAGAATGTATGTAGAGCGTACACAGAGCATACATAGTGCTTCTAATAATCCAAACGCATCTCGACATCCGGTATCCGCACCTAATAATTTCCCGCGCTAGATTGATTTTGCTAAATTCTGTACTTTGTCTCTAGATAAATTTCGTGCCCGTAGGCCCCCGAGTTACCAATGGTAAATTGCAAAGTAATTGACAAAGATTGGATGTATCTTTTCTGGGCCTTTTTGGATCTTTCTAAGAGAAGAGAATCTGTTGTAGCTGTTCTGTACTAATGAACACGTCAGGTCCAATAGAGTAAATTAAGATTTAGACAATAGAAATATTAATTGCACGAAGATTAATACGTCATGTTTGCTGTGCACTATAAATAAATTCTTGCTTGCTTCTAAATTTTAAATTTATTTATTTTAATAATTAAATATTCATGTAGTGCAGTAATTGCTTGAGAAAATTCTCACAAATTGGTTTATATCTATGCGCACGTTAGCAACTTAGCATTGTATTCTTTGCGGGGAATTGAGGGTGTAAATTTAATTCTATTAACTAATAAATTTTAATTTTGATATAAATTATAGTAATACCTAAAAGCACATGTTGGGTTTTTATTGATATTATTTTAATAGAATTTTAATGCTTGTTAAAACTTTGAAACAAGATTTTATTTAAAATGGATATTTGGTAAAAATTTCATGTTCAGTCCAAAAACTTTATTGAAATATTGTAAAAAAAAACTAATAGAAATTGAATTGTCAATAGATTTTTGAAAATTTTTTAACAAATTTGATCCAAAAACTTTAAAATCAAACCAAAATAATGAAAACTCCAAAACATGCTATGAGGATTTTCAATTACCCAATAAAGAAGGGAGAGAATTTGCAACTAAGATAAATTGTTTGATAAGCACTAAGTGGTTTGTGTATAGTAACATTATTTAGTATTAGAATTGGAATTTATAACCTTAGATTTAGGGGATAATGAACTCGATCAAGATTCAATGATTTTTTTTTTAATCTCGAGTTATCATTGTCTCCATTCTAATTGGTTATAAGAGATAGTTGATCAAATGATTCTTATCAAAAGCTATAGGTTACTTTCAAAATATGTTAACATATCAGGTTTCATCGAGCACTCTCGGCTGCTACATCCGACGTCCTCTGGATTCGTCGCCTACTAGATGAAGTGGGCATTCCACAACAGCAGCCGACTACCATTCATTGTGACAATATCTCAGCTATGGCCCTAGCCAAAAATCCTGTCTTCCACGCACAGACCAAACACATCGAGATAGACTACCATTTTATTCGACAACATCTCAACTCCGGCGACATACAACTCAGCTACATTGCCTCTACTGACAACATTTCAGACATCTTTACTAAGTCTTTCTCTCCTGCTCGCTTTCAAGAACTTCGTCGCAAATTAACCATTCAAGATCAGAATGATTAATTTGAGGGAGACTATAAGCGAACAGATTATTCATATTTACATTAATGCCATGTATTTTCTATTTAAAGGATTCTGTACCGCTTTTCTGGGTAATGAAGTATTTTTCCCTTCTTCCTATTTCGGCTTCTGTTTCTCTGTCTCGTTACCGTCTTCTTGTTCTTTCACCGCTGCTTTCATGGTATCAGAGCCATAGATGGCTGATCAAGAAGCAACAAGCACACACACAAATCCCTCACAACCGCCCTCCGGCCAACAATCCACCGATCTAGTAATACCTCCCCAGCTCAAGTTCCTGATATCAAACATCAAGAACCTCATTCCTCACGCTCTCACCGCCGACAACTACGCCATATGGCGTATTCAAGTTCTACAGCAATTCACCGCCAATGGATATGCGGGACATCTCACCGGAGCTTCTCCCTCTCCCGCCGATGCTACCTCTCCGGAAGCCCTCCGCTGGCATCTTGAAGATAATAATCTGCTCTCAGCTCTCTTCTCGACAATTTCGCCGTCGATTCTACCTTACATCATCACCGCCACCACCGCGCAAGAAGTTTGGCAGGTTCTTGAACGTCGTCTTCAACCCACGTGTCGTTCTCGAGTTATCCAACTCAAGAACGAACTTCATCATGTGCAAATGAAGAACCTCACAATGCAACAATATCTATCGCAAATTAAAACGATTGTCGATAGCATAGCTGCCTCCGGATCGAGAGTAGATCCGGAAGATATCATCATACACATCTTAAACGAATTACCCTCCTCCTACAATCCATTCAAGGCTGCGATACGCACCTATCCAATTCAGTTCGATCTAGACAATCTCTATTCAATGTTGTGCAGTGAGGAGATCAATGTCACGCAAGAACATGCCAAAGATTCCATCACTGAGGCTGGCAGCACAGCTCTATACACTACTTCATCCACTTTTCAAAAAGGACGGTCTCAGAAAAGATATTTCAAGAGCAAGAATCAACAAACCTCCCAAAATTCAGCCATACTTGTCTCGGTCCAACCCCCTACCGTGAATACCATTCGGCCTACTTGCCAAATTTGTGGCAAACCCGGCCACATAGCTATCAACTGCTGGCACAGGTGCAACTTCAAGTACGCCCCTACGACCACCCGTTCCACCCAAGCTTACACCGTTCAAACCAATCCGAACAACTCCTCTGAGTGGATCTTGGACACCGGGGCTACCTCCCACCTTACACCGGACATCCACAACATCCAACATCCCAACTCCTACACCAGTCCCGATAGCGTCTCCATCGCCAACGGCTCGTCAATACCCATTCAGAATTCCGGTCAGGGTCTCTTACCTCTTCCCGACACGCCTCATAAGCTTTACTTACGCAAATTACTTCATGTTCCTAAATTAGCTCATAATCTTTTATCTGTCTCCAAATTAACTTCTGACAATCCGATATCTATAAGATTTGACGCAAATGGTTTTGTGATAAAGGATACCCAGGATCGTCGTCCTCTGCTTCGTGGCAATCTCCATAACGGGCTCTACAAGATTTCTCAACAGCAAAACAATAAACATGTGGCTCTTCATGCCAGCCCTCGGACCACTCAGCTCTGGCACAACCGCCTTGGACATCCTCACCGGCAAATACTCTCCGTTCTCTCGCGTGTCATACCGGACATCCAGAATACCGCCTCTCTCTCTCCCTGTATTTCTTGTAGTGTGGCCAAGAGTCACAAAATTTCTTTCAATAAAACTATTTCCATAACTACGCAACCTTTTGAGTTGATTCACACCGATATCTGGGGTCCCGCGCCTATACCTTCTCTTGATGGCTTTCGATATTATGCTCTTTTTACTGATGATTTTACTCGCTTTTCTTGGATTTATTTGATGCATAATAAGCAAGAAACTTTTTCAAAATTCAAAATTCTTTACAAACTTATTAAAACTCAGTTTCAAACGACACCTAAAATTCTCCGGTCTGATGGCGGAGGCGAATTCCTTAGCAACGACTTCACTTCTTTTCTTCAACATCACGGTATTCAACGTCAACTGAGCTGTCCGCATACACCCGAGCAAAATGGGGTGGCCGAACGCAAGCATCGCCACCTCCTCGAGCTCACTCGCACCCTCATTCACGCCTCCAACACTCCTCACATATTTTGGGCGGAAGCCTTATCTACTGCCAACTATCTAATTAACCGGCTTCCCTCCAAATCGATAAATTTTCACACTCCCTTTCAACGGCTTCACAAGCGACCACCAAACTATACTTTCCTCCGCACTTTCGGTTGTCTCTGCTTTCCCTGGCTGCGCCCATACACCTCCACCAAACTTGATCCGCGTTCTCAAGAATGCGTGTTCCTTGGCTATTCTACTTCTCACAAAGGCTATAAATGTTACAACTTAAAAACGCACAAAATTCACATATCGCGGCACGTTGTTTTTCATGAGGAAATTTTTCCTTACAAGACCGAACCACCTAAATCCAACTCTGACTCCTCTGTGCCGCCGATACCCATTTCTCCTTATCTCTTAACTCCTACTTCTACCATTCCCAGTCAATCCCACAAGCCTGATACAACTTTACCTACTGTGCCTAACCAAATACCCATTACCACCACTACATCTCAAAACGTTCAATACAATTCTCTTGCACCCGAGACTACCTCTCCCGCTCCTACTGCTCCGCCTCCGCATCGACCTTCACATCCCATGACAACACGTTTGAAATCTGGAATTTCTAAACCAAAACAAATATTCTCTCTTGTGAGCAACTCTTCCATGCAGGATACACCGAAAACTTTCAAGCAAGCCATGATGCAACCTCACTGGCAGAAAGCCATGCAAGAAGAGTTCGAAGCACTACAAAAACAGCAAACGTGGATACTTGTACCCCCTCCGAATGACAAACCTATACTAGGTTGCAAATGGACCTATAAAACCAAAACTCTTCCTGATGGCAAGCTCGATCGCTACAAAGCACGCCTGGTGGCTCTCGGATATGATCAACAACTGGGAATCAACTACACCAAGACCTTTAGCCCGGTCGCTAAAATGACAACCATCCGAATATTACTAACCTTAGCCGTTCACCGAAAATGGAGCATTCTGCAGCTTGACATTTCCAACGCTTTCCTACATGGTGATCTACACGAGGATGTTTATATGCGGCAGCCACCAGGATTCGCCGATACAATCTCTCCAACCGCGGTCTGCAAACTACAGAAATCGCTCTATGGTCTCAAACAAGCTCCGCGCCAATGGTTTGAAAAATTAACTCAATTTCTTCTTGCAAGAGGATTCAGGTTCAGTCGTTCCGATCCCTCACTTCTCATCTTTACCATTCAAAATATTCAAATCTTCTTTCTCATCTATGTCGACGACATTCTTGTAACAGGAAATGACAGCCAAGCCATACAAG